GAAGAGGCAAACGTTGGCTGGTCCCTGAACAGAGGAGAGAGGTGAGGCTCAGAGTCTTGAACATTTCGAAGAGGTGGTGAACTTGTGCAGTCTCCTCTTCCGATCCGACATGGCATCCACATATGTGAAGGTCACCGTTTACTCGGCTCACTATGACGATCGTGAGTGTTAGGAAAAGGTCGAGAGATAATACTGATCGTTCTACAGCAAAGGGAGCGACATTGTATGTCCGATTGAAACTGGGTAATGTATCCTTCAAGACGACACCCAGGAAAGAGAACAATCCCGTATGGAACGAAAGTTTCAACTTTGAGGTGACTCTCTCACTGACCCATCGTTACACCATAATGATCAACCGACAGGTTCGAGATCCGAGCACCGAGATCTTACGTGTTTCACTCTTCAACAGCAGAAACCAACTGACGGCCATGAGAGCTGTAGGTAACGTGGACATTCCCCTTAGCTCCCCAATGGATGAGAATTCCAAGAACGAGTTCTCTAGAAATCTGGGTGAATCGAATGAGGTTCTCATCTTCATCAGTCCCGTCGGTTTTGGCAACAAGAAGCGTGAGATACGACGTACAACATTGATGATACTGATTCGAACGATGCAGATGAGATCGAAAGACCCCCCGATGCAGAGGTCCTCTCTCAATTCGATGAGTTTGTGGAGACGATGGGAATGAAGGGAGCGCAGCTGGATAAGATGAAGGCGATGGACATCACTCAAAAGTGGAATCTGATCAAGCAGCGATACATCGCCAATCAGGTGTGTCTTCGCTCCATCCACGACGCACCCGACGAAGATGGATGATCCGATCGCGATGATGCTGATCGACATCTCAGAGCAACATCAAGAGAGTTGATAACAATCCTCAAGTGTGGGCCTTGAAACTGAGAGAAGAGCCCACGTACAAGACCATCAACACACTTCGACACTGGCTGACGTCCGAGCCAGTGGAATGGATCAGAGGTTTCCTCAACGTCGGTGGTGCTGATCGCCTCGCCTTCTTTGTGGAGAATATAGAGATGAAGAAACAGTGAGTGACGTAACTCGAGTTTTCACCGACATTTCGAAGGAAGAGTCCTGAAGATTTCAACTCGGTGGGAGAGGCACTGAGAGGTATTCGGGCCATCATGAATTTCACGGTGAGGCATTCGACCTTCTACAACGAGGAAATGACATCTCCAGCCCGGATTGGAGGCAGTCATCAAGAACGACAAGCTGATCGAGGCCATGGCTCTGTGTTTGGATCTAAGTTTAGACGAGAAGGATGCCATGGTGCTCGTCTTCGAATTCATCGTGCTCTGTGGTGCACCCAACGGTCACAAGTGAGTCATCCTTTTATTTCTTTTATTTCTTTCGAAGAGGGACACAAACTGAATAAAAAACAGGCGAACGATCAAAGCATTCGATCACTACATGAACAAGAGGAAAGAGAAGAGGAGATTCTGGAATCTCGTACAACAGATGAAATTGACCAGCGCCGCTGATTTGAAGGCAGCCTACATGGCTCTCATCAATGCCATCTGTAACGTACCAGAAGAGGTGAGATCCACCCAAGATACCAGTACGAATCGAAGATATCACGAGTTCGACCCATGATATCTTCAATTTGACTGACGACGTCACAGGTCAAAACGAGAATCGCCCTCCGAAGCGAATTCCGCGCCTGCGAAATCTACGCGGAATTTCAGAGGAGCAGAGATCTCATGGAGAAGCCAGAGTACGAGCTCCTCAAGAAACAAGTGAGCTCATCTACAACCTGCCATCTCTCAAGCTATGACAGGTGGAGATTTTTGAGGAAGAAGATCAAGAGGATGATGAAGCTGCTCTGTCCTTTGCCATCAACAACGTTTCCATGGGTGAGAGACGAGGAGGTCACGTGACTGACGGAGGCAGATAATCCTACCGAGTTGACTCGAATCATCAGCGAGAGAACGAAGAACCAAGGAGTAGACGGAGTTTTCGTTGAAATCTTGCAGTCCCTCTTGCGATTGGCCACCGGAAAGGCGTACGTCGTTTTCATTCTAGTGAAACGATCACATCGCGATGAAATATCCTGTTCGATGTGAAACTGACCCTGAGACAGTGACAAATCACAGTGGAGCACTGTCTCAGAATCGATGAAAGAAGGAAAGATCAACGGCAACAGTGAACAGGAGATCAAAGAGCTTCAGAAACGAGTGGCCACTCTCCAGATCGAAATGAGAGAGAGAGACGAAGCGCTCAAGGCCGCGCAGCAGCAGGCGGCAGCCAGCGTGAAGACGAACAACAACAACACTGCGTCGACCGCTGAATTGGAAGACCTCAAGAAAGAAGTGGAGGACCTCAAGGCCAAACTGGCGGCAGCGTGAGGGAGAGAAGATTCCCGGAAGATTGACGGAGATATCAGGGTCGTTGTCGTTGTAGATGCCCCACCGGTGGAGGGAGGAGCACCTCCACCACCACCCCCACCGGATGGAGTTGTAGAGGAATCGTCGGCACCACCTCCACCACCACCACCAGGTGGTTCAGGTGATATTCTATCTCCTCTTTCGATCGATATCATCCGTGACACGTTGATTGTGAAGGAGATGAATGAGAATATAAATAAGAGAAGAGAAGTATTGAAAGAATGAACAGAAGAAGGAGGGGGACCACCACCACCACCCCCACCACCGGGAGGAGCTCCACCACCACCAGCCCCACCAGGAGGTGATGACATTTCCATTCGATTCGAGATGCCATACGTGAGATGAGACACGTCGATGACATTGGTACATAGGTGGTCCACCTCCACCTCCAGGAGCACCAGCTGCTAAGCCACCACAGAGGCCCAGAAGAGATTACATGAAGGTACTCATCTTACTCTATACATCTCTCCTCTACATCACCTTATCGTATCATACTATACAATATCATCTACATGTGTTAAATGGATGAGAGAAGGAGAAGACATACTATACAGTATCATCTACATGTGTTAAATGGATGAGAGAAGGAGAAGATATGATCTCCTCTGATGATACAAGATCTGACGGAGACGCAGGAGCCAAAGACGAAGATGAAGGGTTTGCAGTGGACGAAATTAGACGAGAACAAACTGAAGGGAACCGTGTTCGATCAGTTTGGAGAGAAGCTGACCGCATTCCGCATCGATTTTGGAGAGATCGAGACCAACTTTGGAGTGAAGGAGGTTAAGAAGGCCGAGAGCTCTCAGGAAGCATCAGGTGGTGCGGTAGTTCAGGAGGGACCACCACAATTATTGGATGGAAAGACGAGCCAGAATATCAGTGAGTTGTTGACACGACGAATCATGTCCCGTGATCATCGCGATCATCTCATCATCGCGATCAGATGATCTCATCCATCATCGCATCGTGTTGATGATTTTCATCTGATGAGACGACAGTGATCTTCTTATCTCAATTCAGAGGACAGAGCCACAAGGACATTGCGAAAGCTCTGAGTAACATGGATGACTCTATCAAACTATCCCACGTTAAATCCATTCGAAATTTCCTCTCTTCTGACGTCAGCGGCATCGATGCCTACATCTCAGAGGGTGGTGATGCCTCCAAATTGGCTCAAGCCGAGAGCTTCATCTTTGAGGTGACAACTCTCGTCGATCGTAAGCTGAAGCGATTTAGATCACCAAAGTACCCTTCTTGACCCAGAAATTGAAACTGTTGCAATTCAAAGCAGAGTTTGCCTCGAAGAAGGACGACATCAAACCGGTGATGACTCTCATTTCTGATGTTCTCCTTTCGATATCTACATCTGTTGGTTTGAAATCTTCTCTATCTATTTGTCTATTGCTCGACTGATTCATTTCAGGCTATGGATCTCCTCAAGAGAGCGTGCCAACAAGTATTGAACACGAACACCTTTAAGACAATGATCGAGGTCAGTCACGAGAACACAGACACCACACTGACCTCTGCAGTTGATCTTGGCCGTTGGAAACTACATCAACGGAGGAACGAAGCGAGGCGAGGCTTTCGGTTTCAAATTTCAAACTCTGGGCCGTCTGGGAGATTTCAAGACCACGGACAATCAGAAGAGTCTCATCCACTACGTGTACGACATTGCCGTGCGACAATCACCGGACACCGTTCAGTTCATGAGCGAGATGACAGACGTTCAGCCCGCCAGTCGAGTCATCTTCTCTGGACTCAAGGCTGATGTTGCCGCTCTCAAAAAGGAATACGCCGAAGTCAAACAAGCGGCGGAGTCGATGCAAGGAGACGATGCCTTTGTGGAGAGGGCAGGACAAGAGGTGAAGTCACGTGTGAAGTGGGTGTGACGGTGGAACAGGTGGAGAAGATCAGTAAGGATGCCGAGGACCTCGAGGCTCTGTATGCGAAGGCTGCCTCCTTTCTCGCTGCAGATCCGTCTACAATTCAGCCCGAAGAGTTCTTCACGACGATCAACAAGTTCATCGAAGACTTCCGTCAGGCCATCAAGGTGAGAGGAGGTGTAGAGGAAGGATCTGATGGTGGAAGGTGACCAAGGAGAGGGCGGAGAAGGCGGAGAGGGAGAAGAAGAAGGCGGCCGGTTTGGCTGCCAGAGGCCCCAACGCTCTCGCTTCAAAGATGACACCAATGATGATGTCACCTGGATTGGGAGGTGGTCTTAGGTGAGAAGAATTTGGATCATCATCACGATCGATCGCGATCGCCATCACATTCAGATGGGAGAATGATGATCTGACGAGAGTTCAGGAACAGAAACGGAAGCGTGGATGACAAGGGTGAAGACTCAGCCTTTGGCAATCTGCTTTCAGCAATGACGAATGGACAAGCATTCAAAGCAAGAAGAGATAGGGAGAGACTCTCACAAAGACTTTCTCCTGGTGAAGTTGCAAACGCCCTCACAAAGAGTTAAACTGTAACAATAAAAGGATGAGGATTGCACCGTCAATTGCCATTTTATTCTGCAACAAAGCGGTCACCTTCAGATGATGGAAGCTAAAATGAGAGATGTTGGTTGGCTCGTTTTCCGTCATGGAAAAAAATGCGCAAACCGGGATTCGAACCCGGGTATCCTGCTTGGGAAGCAGACATGCTAACCACTGCATCATATGCGCTGGTGTTAGAAAAATAAAGTATTGTCAGTGATAAGTAGTACCGACACATCCACAAAGGGACTCACACGAGAAATAGAAAGGATCTCATCATTGAGATGGCCAACTTACCCCACGAATAGCGTCTATATATGAGACTTCCACAGAAAGCGTATATAGCTGTTAATTAGCAGGATGTGATGTGGATGAAACGAACAATATAGTTCCTACCAATTCCTGCTGTGCAATCCCACATGTGGTCGATCGTGGTGAACCGAGAGCTTCCATGCCTTGTTACCGATCTAGCACCTCGGTCGTCTCTGGAAAGAGGAAAAGGACGGAAGGAGGCCCTGTCTACAACATAGATCTTTTGTATTGATCGAGCACATCACCCACCGCGAGCAGAGGAGATTCATCATACGAATCCGCATACCTGTGACGACCGCATTAGAGAGTCCTTCTGTCAATGATTCATTCGAACATTGTTTCAGTATCACTCACATCCACAGTTGAAACCAGCACCGTTGATTTCAGCTTGACTGATCTATACGTGAGTTAATGAGAAGGTTAATCATCAGTATCTCTCAGTATGAGACACATGTGCTCACGATTCCGGACGGAGGATACGACCACCAAGAAGTACTTCGTGCGACACTGTATACCGAGATGGAGCTCTCTTCTGCTGCTCTATGATCCTTCATCATCGTCACTGGATACCACGGGTCATCTGATGGCATCGTCGGTCACCTTCGTCGGCACAGGTCTCCTTGTACTCATCTACGAACAGAAACTTTGGCATTCTGGTGAGGTTGAACGAGTGACCATCAAGTCGATCAAGACTACAGAAGGAGATCATCTTGCAGGTCAGGCTCACCTTCATCCAAAGATAAAAGAAGAATAGGAGGAGTATACAATGGTACACTTTATATACAATGTTGATTCATCTCTTCGTTCGATCTCGTCGCTGCATCAGCAAGTGTGCAGCGGATGCTGTGGCACATTCTAAAAATACTAAACGACCATCAGAAGACGTCGAATGATTCGAACACACCTTGTAGGCGTAGTCGTAATTGTAATCGTTGTGTCTTGGAGTGAAGTAGAGGAGGAACTGCATCACTTCGGTCGCGCGACTCAGACCCCTGCGGCAGTTGACGCCGGCCCCCAAGTCTCTGACCTTGCACCTCTTTGTGTTCAAGATGAGCTCCGTGACGTCCGTGTGTCTCTTGTTGTATGCGATGCGCGCCGCCTCTGCATGTCCGTTGGTCCTTCTGTCCATCAAAAGGACTCTGACTACGTCGGTGTGGCCGCATCTCGCTGCTTCCTGTCCAGATTCAGAGATCGATCTTAGAATGAGAGCTCTCTCACCTTCAAGGGCATGGAGTTTCTCGCGTTCGGATCCACGGAAGGGTGAGTTAAGAGCTTTCTGACGACCTGAATGAGTTGTTAGATCGATTCGATCGGGCAGCATCACACCTCCAAGAGACCTTTTCGGCAAGCGTATATGATTGCACTGTTGTTACAAATGGACGGATCTACGCTTGGCTGAGAGATGAGACGGCGTAATACAGAATGATCTTCCCTGTCGCATGATGAGAACGAATAAATCCATACACAAGACGGAACATCCACAAAGCTTCTCTATGTATCGACTAGAGGGTGAAACTCATTACACATTCACTAGAAGGCAATCTGCGAGGAGATGGATGAAGAAGTCACCTCTTAAGAGCTCTCCAAAGAGAAAGATTTGGGTCTGGATTATGAGGGTGAAAGACCCTGACGGCGACTCTCCTCCAGGTCTTACAAGTGAGGGCTACATTGCACCACGATCCATCACCGAATCGGATCGATCTGAAGATGAGCTCTAGAACTTCCTCGGGTACCTCGTTGTTCGTGTTCATCCTCTCGTGTTATGCTTGGTTTGTGAACCGATGTGCTTTCTGTTTCTGTCTAACTAGATCTGACATGTCTTATTAGACAAGATTTTACGAAGATCTACAGACACTCTTCGGCGCGACGCTTACTTTCAGAGCTTTTCGTATTCACAACGTTTCGTATCGAGTTTATGCATGATTCACTGATCAATGTTGGTATAACACCAAACATGTTAATTAAGATTTCAAAGTTGTAGTGGACGCGCTGAACATAATGGTGTTTATAATCGTCAACGGGGTCAGCATACCAGAAGAAGGATAGCCGTACCTCGTGTGAGTATACTACCCCATTCAGGTAACTCTGGTTATCACCATAGGCTGCTGTGGTGGTGTGGTCCAAACAATCGAAGGTGAAGATTTATCACACATCTCTTCTTTGTTCAATGTGTGGAAAGTGACAACACGAAAACTTCTTCGTCTCCCATCCTTCAGATCGTAAGATGGGCGAACATACAGCGATCCGATACTTGAGGTGAGAGGAGTTTTATTGGATACAGCCAACGAGGCTGTAACATACTTGTGTACCATTCGAACAGATGGTCGCACAAGTCGATCTTGGAATGTGATTTGAGCATATTCAACATCATCCTGGATGGTGGGGGCAGTCAACATGCGATTGCGTGATGTCTGTTCTATGATATTGATTAATAAAGATTCTTTCGTTTGATTCTTTCTTCTGCGTGAGGGTGGTGGTGTGTTGAGACAGGTCAGTCTTTGTTGCGAATTTGGCGTTAGATCCAAAAGTCGCTTGTGCAATCGATTGGCGTCAATCAGTGAGTTGACGTAGAGTCTACTACTGCCTCAACGTTTCTCCCTCTCTTGTCTCTCTCATATGTGAGTTGATGGGATGTCATTCAACACGAGATCGGGCTACAGAAATCCAAGGAGACTTGTCTTGGTGTATGAGGGAACGATCCTCTGACAAGTGAAGAGTCTCAACAAGTCTTGGGACGTGAATTTGGCGCCAAAATTATTATTTTGGGGTCTTGCTTCGAGTTTTGGGTTTGCAGTCGGGCAGCTCCAGTGGCCGAGCTGGTTGCTCACTCCGCCTTGTCTGGCCGCGTGACACCAGTGATCGGACCCTGGGCTGTCCACTTTTTTTTTACCACGAGAAAAGAAAGAAGAACAGAAGAAAGAGAGATCAGAATAGAAGAAAGAGAGAAAGGACATAGAAACATTATTACATTGACCTTTCAGACGATATGAGATCGGTAGGCGCTCAAAAAAACACATTGATCGATATGCGGTGAAATCGATCGACTTCCATCAACAAGATCTGCAAAAAACACTTCGCTTTCTGCTTCTTGACTCAGAACATAGGAGAATCTTCGACCAGAGCATTTTTGGACACATTTAGAACATCATATCACATTTGGCTTATCACCTCACCAGTTGGCCAATCTCGCTGTAACAGACCACCGCTACCTCTTTCAATCCATTGAGACACCAAGGATCAAGTTGGGTATGATAATCATATCCACTCCAACATCATTCACACAACAAATTGCTCACTTGGAAAGCCATAACATATCGAGATTTGCACTAAAGAATGCCTGATCTTTCACAGCAAATCACATGAGATGATCTTCACCATACATTCCATCTCAGAGAGAGAATAAAACAACTACACACTTCTACCCATATCATGTAGGGCTGAGTAGTATATTGAAGCAGGGCTGATTGATGTGATTTTGTGCTGTGACTCCAAAGAGGGTGGGAGATCTGTGCCCTTGCATAATAAAAACCTTACAAGGGTGGACATATATACCACCAAGCAAAGGAGAAAACACAAAGCAAACAGAGCAGTGTATCTCCTGTTTATTTTCCAAATGCATTGCATGTGCATTGAGGATCTGTTACTGACACCATATATGCATGGGCATATTCTATAGGTCATCAGAACATATATCAAAACAGTTTCAATGAAGAGAACAAAGTCTGTCATGTGCAAGATTCCTTCTGTCAATATCTAAAGCCATGATTGATTCTTGGAGATACTACTGCTATATTGTATCAGTGAACTACACTTGACCATTGGAGTAATCACATCTCCAATAAATCAGCAACATGTCATGAAAGAGGGTCATATTATACAAAAATAGCACGCATAAAGTCCTGTCTCATTTAGAGAGGAATCCAGTGACAACATATACATTGACAAGATAGACACATGTCATATACTACATTATATCTCAATGTTGAATCTTGTGTGGATATAGTGAAGATTGCGCTGAATTGTAGCGTGTAGGGTTTAGGGTTCAACAGTTTTATGACACGCAATGGCGTGACAGATTAGTGCCACTATGTTGTGTCAGGCCAAATTCCACTTGGGAAGAAGGCCAGGCGAAAAGATTCATCTCTAGGCTAG